TTTATCTGAAATATTTATATAAACTTAAATATATATCCATATTAGTTTTTAAAATTATAAATAAAATTCTACTAATGTAATTATATTAATTAATATAATAAATGTTAAATAATATTTAATAAAGTAATAAAAATATATTAAGAAATTAAAATTTGAAAACTAAATGCTGAAATATATTAAATGTTAAATAATATTTAATTCATGACACTAACACATGGTGCAGACACCTTTCATAACGTGTCGACACCACATCCGTGTCGGGTTTCCTGTCTTCTTTTGTAATTTCTCCAGATCTGGTCCTCAATATTTTATAAAATGAGCAATTTGATCATAAAACTTAAGATTCATTAATTTAGGTCTCAAATAGAGCCATTCTTCTTGCAATTCAGTCCTTCAACTTTCATAAGATATTCAATTAATTCTAAAAACTCCTATTATTATGCATTTAAATCCATTTTTACACAAAGAGTAAAAACAACATAAAATCTATTAAAAACCATATATTTTTCATAATCAACTCTTAAAAAAATATTTTCTATTACTATCTGAAATATTTATATAAATTCAAATATATATCCATATTATTTCTTTTAACTATTAATAAATTTATACTAATGTAATTATATTAAGTAATATATTAAATAATAAATAATGTGTAATAAAGAATAAAAATTTATTAAGAAATTGAATTTTAAAAAATGAATTTTGAGGTATATATGAATCAAGAAATGGGCGGGAGATAGCAAGTGAAAGTTTTACCAATATGGTACACGTCAATGATAAGCTTGGATTTTGAATTTTGAACACCTTTTAGCAACACCGGGGTATGATGCTGAATGGAGGACAAACCTTTTACCAACATAAGACATGTTCCTGATTGGAGGGCAAATATTTTATCAACATGAAATATGTTGCTGAAAAGTCTATATATACTCCCACCACGGACTGAGCATTTCTCCTCTGTTTCTTTTCTTCTTCTGCAATTTTCCTTCTGCATGTCCGCATGATGCCTCTCCTCTATTTCTCAGCCTTGTTTTTCCATCAGTTTTGCAAAAATCCTCCATATGTCACTATTTGTTTATCCATAAGTTATATCATATATTTCTTTGTTTTTATCATGAAATTCTCGTACATATATATATAATTACGTTAATTTTTATTAACATTTTCATTTTATTGAGGTGTATATTTTGATTTTATTGTATTCAATATTATTATGAACATTGAGTGCTTAAATATGTTCTAATTTATTTGCAAATTAATAACATTATAAATGACTATATATATTACTTATTAATTTTTTTTTTTGTTTTGTAGGTAAATCTCAATAAAATAAATAAATTTAAGCTTGGAATGCTCCTAAACCGACATTAATTGCCTTGAGATATTTCTTTTAAATTTATCTAGCTAAAAGTTTAGATATAAGTGGTCAAAATAAATATTAATTATCTATTTAGAATGTCTTTGTATACTATATTATATGTAATAAAATTTATTTTTTAGTGATTATAATTAAAAATTGAATTTTTTAATTAAATATTATATACTTGTTAAATTTTATAATTTTTTGTATACTTTTTTATATTTAATAAAATTTATTAATTATTTAGTAATTATAATTACAAAATAGATAATTATTAAATTTTTTAATGATAGTATGAAAACAATTTATTTAAATTATTTGTAAATATTAATGAAACTGAGAAATATGTATTCATAATATTAATAGAGAAAATTGATAATTTTTTTTAAAAATAATATAGTACTGTACAACTTGTCAATGAAATAATTCTTAAAATTGGCATTTGAGCATCACTAACGTGGAACATCTTGCTGAAAGAAAAGATGCCAAATATTCATTAGATTACTAGTAACAAGAGTCTTATTGCTAACAGTACATGGGCTTACTATTCATTAGTTTATCAGCAACAAAAATCATGTTGCTAAAAATGCTATACTATTCAAAGAACTATCAGCAACAAGGAACATGTTGCTAAAAAGTTGATGGCACACTCCTCGTCAAACTTTTAGCAACATGAGCTATGTTGTTGAAAGGTTAAATGCTAAATTTGGTCCCTCAACTTTAGTGAGTTGCACATTTTTGGTCCCTTAACAATTTTTTGTACTTTTTTGATCCCTTAACTATACGAAATGCACTCCGTTAGTCCTTCTGTTAATTTCGCTCGTTAACTCGCTCACGTGGCATTTTTTATTATTTTTTTGATGACATGACAAAAACAAATTAAAAACATGTTTACGTGGATTTTTTTTTCAATGCCAACTCATATTATTATTATTATTTATATTTTAAAAAAATAAACTAATATAATTGGTTCATCGGTTCATCTTCTTCCTCTCTCTTTTTCTTTTTTTTTTTCTTCCTCTTCTTTCTTCCTCGGGTCATTGAACCCTCTGCTAGGTTCGGTGGAACCCAG